TGGGTAAGAAGTTGAGAGTGCTTCATGAGGTGCTTTCTGAGTGGGGCAGACATGAGAAGCAGAGTTTGGGTGCTGTTCAGCTCACAGAGTCCTTGCATATCCCCCACCTCATCTGAACGTCCTCCTCCCTGTGATCTAGACGCACCTGCCTGTCCAGTTGTCCCAGAATATGCCGCCTCCCCTCCTCCCTGCAGGCCTTTGCCTATGCAGACCCCGTCCACCTGGCATGCCTCCCTCTGCCATTCTTTCCATCCCGTGTGCAGATCCACCGTCTCCGTAGGGCCTTCCTGGATTCCTTGCCTTTAGTGGGTAAGAGTGTGGGCTCTCAAGGTAAGTTGCTAGAGGTCAAATCCCGCCTCTACCACTTCTTGCCTGTGTGACTTTGGACAAGTTACTCAACCTCTCTGTTTGAGTTTCCTCAACTGTAAAATGGAGTATAACCAAACCCATCATCTAGGGTTGTTGTGAGGATTAAACTGAGTAAAACAAGAGAATACACGTAATGTGCCTAGAACTGTGCTGTGGGAGCCGCCGTTATCATCATTGTTGTGACTTTGCTGTCGCGGTTCTGTCTCTTTCTAGCACAGTCCGCTGAGTCTAGGCTGTTTTCCTGAGCACTGACAGCATGGCAGCTGTGTGCTCAGCCCGCACAGGCAGGCTGTGTTGTGGGGTCCGGAGGGGCTGATACATGTAAAACTGATGGAATGTCCTGCTCAATGGTGAATACGACCTAAGTGTTAGCTGCTGTTATCTCCTTTAATCCATACAAGAACCCTCTGAGGGAGGTATTATCCCCATTTTACAGAGGAAGAAACTGAGGCCCAGAGCAGGGAAGTGGCTTGCTCTGGGTCACACAGCAAGAGCTTGCTTCTGGAAACCAGAGCTTCTGGCCCAGGAGCACTGCCCTTCCAGGCAGAAGCAGCTGAAAGCCTTGTTCTGGCACTGCAACCAGCGTGGAGGGGCGAGGCTTGGGGTGCCGAGAGGGCCTGGCTCCCTTCCTGATGGGCTGGGGGCCTCAGTGTCTGGCAGGTGGCTATGCTGAGCTCATGCTTTTCCCAGCCGTGTGTGGTTCAGCCCACAGACCCCGGGGCTGTCCTTTCCAGGCGTGAGTCAATGTGGGAATGCAGGACATTACGGCTGGCCCCTGGGCTGTCCTCACCCCAGCATTTTGAGTGTCCCTCGTCCCTGTGTCACTGTCACTCCCCTCACCAGGATGATTGACTGGGTGTCCTGGCCCCTGGGGAAGAACATTGACAAGTGGATCATTGCACTGCTGAAGGGCCTGGCTGCTGTTAAGAAGTTCAGCATCTTGATCGAGGTTTCGCTCACCAAAATTGAGAAGGTTGGTGCCCCGTCCTAGCCCAGACTTACAGCCTTTTGCACTAGGCTCTTGCCAGGGGCGGTGCAGGTCTCGGAGGGCAGAGCATCGGGCCTCCCCACCAAGCTCGCTGTGTGACCTGGGCGAATTCACTGCCCCTCTCTGGGCCTCAGATTCTCCCCATTAGTTTCCCTGACTGCTCATC